ATATATGTTTATATGGACATTAAGTGTAATAAATAACATTTTGAAGAAGAAAGCTTAATACTGCAGTTAAAAAGCAACTCTGGTCAGATGTTGCCAAACTTTTTAAGGGTTTAATTACAGCTGGTAACCACTGGAGGTAAAGGGAGAGGAACTTGCATGTTCTAATTACTGCCACCCGCTGAACTGAAGGTGTAGTGCAGTTTCTCTTAGGCGAACTGTCACAGGATGCCCAGCGTAATGTAAAATCATGCTGATGACCTACCCAGGACTCCGATTACCAGAGTAATACAAATCCTAGGGCTTTAAATCTTGGGGCTTTCAGTGGAAAATATTAGTTATGTTTCATTCCAGACCTACTTGGAGTCATGCAGGTTAATATACGAGCCTTAGCCTCTTTTAACCAAATCACATGATTCCTCTTTAAGTTCCATTAGCAGTTTGCTTGCTTTGTTGGTGAAGTTCAGCCGGAGGAGGCAGTTTTTTCCAAAAGAACCAATCAGCATGAATCACATAAAACTGTTGTTATGCAGAATTTAGAACACCAACAGTAACACCTTTTGCTGCTGTTCTCAAACAATGAACTTCAGATATTGTTCCATTTTATGTAGTGTCTAGACAAACTTGGTCTACATTTAGCCAATTTTATCCCAATTTTTGTGGTTTCATCTCCATCAAGCTCTATTAACCAAAATCAAGGTAACCTTTATGCTGTATTGAAATGAACAATCTACATTTAGCGTTTGGTATTCATGAAACAAATGCAGCTTGGTGAGTGTGCTGGTATTAAGTTGTTAACCAGAGCACTTTGGAGTTGTTGCATTGTCTGTTTGATTTGTTTTAAGTAAAGTACAAAATCCCTCCATGGCTATGCACCTTGTGTACAATCATTCATATTTCTGTTGCCTCAAAAAGTGGTCTACAATACAGCTTTCACCAATAACTAAAGTTAACTATAATTATAGACATCAAGCTGAAGAATTCAGCAAGCACTTTGTTCATTTTTCCTTCTTTTAATTCAGACATTTAAAAAAATACAATTTAGAGCTGTAATCAAAATACTTTGATGTGGTGAAACCTTAAAGTTTTTGATTAAGATTATCATACCAACACAATTTCATACAGCCCCATTCCCACTTGCACGTTTTTTTACTGCAGAACTATAGAGGATTATTTCAAGCTGTCATTTAACAACTTTTAGAAATGTTCACAATTAATACTGAATCTGGTCATGCATCGATTGCCAATAGCAGCTTCGTACTAATAGAGTGAGAGGCGGGATACACCAGACATATTGTGCCAGTCCATCACAGAATACAATTATTAGAATCAACAATCTAAAGAAAAAACATTTGGTGAAACTCGTCAAAGTTAAAATGAGTGTAATCTGTTGCAAACGTCACATAGACAGTGTTTCAGCACAATGTCCTCAAAATCCTGGCTTCACTGGAGGCTTTTGGTATGTGACACTTTCCATTTGGTCTTCTGCTCAGAATGTGAGTCTGTAAGTTTGTGTGTGTGCTTATGGGTCAATGTCAGTCTGTATAGAGGAGATAATGAGGCAGTGTATGCTTCACCCAGCTAACCTCTGGATTTAACTGACAAGTCCATCGAATCGGCTGCAGAAGTGGAAAACTGGAAAAGGATTGTCTGATTTTGTCACAGACCACAGAACTTTTGCTTGTTAGTTTTTATTTTTTTTTTCAGTGTCATTATTCAACAGAAAAAAGTTAAAAACAACGACTTAAGACACCAGGAAGGACAGATTCATACCCCGATCAAGAAGAAAAAAAATCTTTGTATGGTCAGTCAAAATTTGACAGAGAGAATAATAGCTTTCAACACTATTGCAATTACAGACCATGGAAATATTAATAGCAATCACTATCTAATTTTGTATATCATCATGGAACCAAGCTGAATATAAGAAAGATCACTGAAAACCAAATTCTTTCACAAAACAGAGAAATATCAACTGAGTGATGTAAAGGTTTACATTATACATGCAGGTGTTCTCTCCAGGGACCAAAACTGCCAGGTTTTCTCAACAAACATGGAGACTGATCGATATTTTAAAAATAGACGATATCTTCAAATTTTCCATTCAATATCTAAGACCATTCAGGTGAATTTCAGTATCTTAGAATTCTTGTTTTTTCTTCACAAGGAAGAGAACTGTAAGTAAATGTATGTTTAGGCGTTATTAGCCATTTAAATTCATATAAGAATACATTGCTATTGCTTCTGTTTAAGTAAAAGGAAACCCCCACAACTATAAAATACTAGCTCCTTTAAAGTCTGGTCAGCAAGGAATAATCAATGGATCATTATCTATACCTAAAACTAATGCATTCGCAATGATTTAATGAATTTAGCGTTAATCAGTAAACAATTAGAAATAGTCATTTTCATCGCAATCACTGAGTACGGGACCAGCCATTTTTGCCCAAATATAGTAACATCTCACTCCTGCCATCTTCCTGCAGTGACGTCACGGTGCGGTAAGCCTAGTGCCATTCTCCCCGCTCTACACGCAAAATCAATGGGAACTACTAGACTCATCTGTAATCAACGACAATTACTTAGAATTTCGAGAGGATTTCACCATTAAAATTCACAAGAGCTATATTTAAACTGACAATGCCCACGTGCATGGCAGTTGGATGTTGTAATATTGTCCAAAGTCACAAGTGATTTGGAGGTAAACAGTGACTTTACATGGTGCATGCTTAGAACTTTACATTGTACCAGAGATTATTAAATCCATGTAGCACAGGGTGTCATTGAGTAGTCTTAAGACTAATAAAATTGTACAGTGTAAATAAATCTATATCATAAAAAAAACCTCCTGCATTACTTTATGTAAAATAAGGTTCACATTTTAAACCCTTTTCTTTGCCAAAATAAATAAAACGTGTGCCTCACCTTCTTCTTGGACTTGAAGACATTACAACGGAAAACATTGCTCTGTCCATCTCTGGCAATGTAGCTGAAGATCTTTAAATCTTGTGAGTCGTGGGAAACGTAGAATATCCTAAAAGAAAAATAAGTCGTTCAGAATAGACAACCACAAAAAAAAAGAAATACAAATATCGAACAAATCGAGGAGGCATTTAAATTTTCATCTTGAGGCAAGGAAGTTGAATTATTCTATTTTAATTTTATTTTATTTCAAAAGTGGTTTTGAACAATAATTTTTTTTTAAGTATTAATTACTTGAAATGGTATTGAATAGAATTAGAATAAATATCCACTGCTTTTAACAAGAATATGAAAACATTAGAAAAACTTTTTACAGAGTCTAGTCGTTCAGGTAAATAATGTATTTCATTTTCAGCACGTTATGCAATCTAGGTATAAAGTACTGTAAGTTCTAAGTATACCAAAGTTTAATGAAGAATCAAAAGCCTTTTAGTTGTGAACCAAAACTACTATCTACCCAAAGGGACAATGATTATGCATCATCATCAAACTCCTTAGGCTTACCTTTAATTATCCCAGATAATGCCAAATCTTTGACCACAAAGCATAGGGAAACTAATCATTTTCACCTGTTAACCCAATAAATAGAATCTAACTATTAAACTGTTTGAATTTATATATTTGCATGCAGTTATTGACGTCATTACAACAGCCTCTGAAGACCGACCTGGGGACTGAAGAATATGAAGCAATTTATAATCAAATAAAGCATCTTCATCTTTTACAAGAATTCATTTAATATAACTTTCCTTTAGCAAAGTCCATCATTTTTATATTTTTACCTAAGGAATCTGTTTTCACAGAGCATTGAGACGTCCTCTGCATTTATATAAATCTTTGCAAGGATAAAATTAAAGAAAGCAAATTTTATTTTCGCTAATTTTATTTTAATTTTATGTTACCGATCTTTAGAAAATCCAAATAAAAAGCACTAAATTGTGTGGGCACTAAGTGCGCTTATTGCGAGCGACCTACAAAGATTGCAGATGCAACAGTTAAGACAGGTTTTGGTAACCCCTACTTAAATGACCAACTTGCATGTGCTGCTGAATTGAGATCTATTGTACAGAAAAAAGAAGAAAAAAAATCTATGCCATGGAATAGGAGCTACCACCTACTCTGCTCTGTGGATACAATTAAGTTTTCATGTGGTTTTCTACATGCAAACCTTTTTAAGATCAGGGCCTTTTGCCTTTTTATGGAAACATTTTCTGAAATCATGTCCAGAGCAGAAAACATTTCATCAGCAAACAGAGCCAGTTTCAATATTTTGGACATGTTGCATTTATATCTCTAATGTATAAAAATAACTGTTTAGGTTCTAAAATTGCTCCCTAAAGAAAATTGAATAATGAGCAGTAACCAACAGACTCAAAAAAACTGTTCCTTCAAAATAAATAACTCTTAATCCAATTGTTTGAGACTAGCCATAAAGCAAAGTTCTATGTCACCTGACCCATTCAGCGATGGATCTGACTCTGTAAAGTCACATCAGTGAGTTTTTGAGAAGGGCAGCCCACACTGTTCATTAATATAAGCCAAGTGCTGAACATTGACCCAAGAAAAATATGTAATTATATAGTATATTTCAAACAAAGCAAACACGGGTCAAACGTTATGTAGTGTTGCTTTAACATTCTCTATATGAGATATTGAATTTCCCTGAATGTAAAGGAAATCTTAACCCAGAGTAAACCCTCCATCATCAGTTAACGCTTTGGCTAGCCAAGATATTCCACCTCTCAATACTTTGCTTTGCAGAACGATGAAGAAATGTCGGACAGAAGTTTTGGAAAATACCTTTCAGGTGATTTTGTTTGTGTGCATTTTGTTATTGCTTTTATTCTCTTATTCTCTTTGAAAAACGAGTTAAGGCATAAAAAATAAAACAAAAAAAAATATTAGCCTCCAAACTTAAGGCCTTAAATAGTCTTTCAAGTTTGTGAAAGATATTCTGCCCATAGTCATAATATTAAGCCCAATGTAAGAAAGAAAATAGCCTACAGATCTTTATGAGGTAGCTTCATGTCTTTTAATAATGACATAGTTAAATGAAAATATAAAACATTGATTAAACCACAAAGCTCTTGTTTATTTCTCTGCCACAGGCTGTTATTTGTTACTGATTAGGGTTTCTCATTGTGCAAGTTATTACAATGAGCTTGATGTAATCTACTGTAAAGAGCATGAAACTTAAGGGGGGAGGCAGCTTTGTAATTGGGTAATTAGAGCTATAATATTAGGATGCTTTCAGTAATCTATCACACTGAGACAATAAAAAGACAGACGAGAGACAAGAGAAAACAATTAAAAGGAGGCTATGCAAATAAATACATGCTGGCTCTACCAAAAGGCTCATCTGTGTGTTGGGCCATGTGCATGTCCATTTCTGTGAGCAAGTTTTGTGTGTTTGTAATCAGGAGTTTCATCTACGTTCCCGGTGACATTTCTGTGGTATTTGTTTGGGTCTATTTTCTGGAAGCCAGACTGGCTCAGGCAACATCTTATGGAAGGTGTTCTTTATCAACACAGCTTAGCAGATGGTCAAATGCCAGACACGGCTCACTGCTGTGACTCATTCAATCACGCATACAAACACCAGTGAGCTAAAGAAAAGCTAGCCCATTTCTCTTTCTAAAGGACGCCATCTAAAAACTTCTCCAAGAGCTCATTGTATACAGATATCTAGACATCTAATAATCTGGTGAACATCCAGTGGATTTGACCTGTAAGATGAAAGTGTTGAGGGCTGCTGTCGTTGATGGATGTAAAAGCAATTTAAACTTAAATTTACTTCTGCCTTTAAACTAATTGTGACAGCTCTTTGTTTACGCAGTAAAAATGTCCTCAACCAATCTTTCTGCTTTATCAATAAACAGATTTTTGACTTGAACTTCATGTTTACCGATGAGCATTACATTATCTCTTGCAGATATGAGCATACACCTTTCAGCATTGAGCTTTGACAACTTTCCTTTTTTTTTGTCTTCTGTCAAATACAGATCTAGAGTGAAAGGGGGAAATCTAAACAATGCCACTTCTGAATGTTTTATATCTCAAGAGCACAGTACATGGTGCGGTGCATGGTGCGTTTTTCTTTAATAATCTCTTAGATACTAATCCTACATAAATTAGAATGTGACCACAGCACAAAAAGACTGAATAATCTAATAATGTGGAAAATGCATTTAAAAAAGGGTAATAGAAGCTATTTAATGACTCAAGTTTTTTGACCTCTTGCATTTTGTCTAAAACATTATAAGAGAGTATTGAAATAAAACCTTAAATAAATGTATCTGTTAAATTTATCAATAAAGTTATTTTTAATTTGGATTTCACAATATACTGTTAGAAAAGACTATTTTTTTGCCAAACAAATAAAAAAATCTCAGAAGACCAGCATAAAGGCCAGCATGTGGCAATGAGGTAAACGATAACAATCCACAGTATATCTGAGGTTCTATGAACTTCTAATTGGATAGAAAGCCAATTTGATAGCTTGTGGTCACCAGCTTTCAAAACAACAATAGACCAGTTTCATGGGTATTATAGGCTTAATTTCACCACCAAGCTATTTCTGATCATTATTTGTGGTTGAAAAAGGTCAACGTTTATTTACATTGGAGAGCAACTCTCATTTATTTCTCATAAAAGTAGGAAGTTTATCGATTTCCTACTCTGCTATGAAAATAACTGGGAAGGATGTCAGATTAATTTGGAAAGCTTCACTGAAAAAAAAATCTAAATTTAAGTATTCTAAAGTATCTAATTATGTTTTTCTTAAAATAAGTGCATTTATTCATGAATTGAGGAGGTGAGACACTTTGCCAATGGAATAGGACAATTTATATTTAAGTAAAAACAATTGTATTGTTATAATTCCAATGCATATTATCTAATTAACCTTTTTTATTTTCTTATTTTGAGTTAAGATACTCATTCAGTTGGCAAATGTTTTTATTTACCTACTCAAATTAAGGGTAAACGCATTTAACTTAAGAAATGTTGACTTATTTCTAGGTCATTTTTGCAGAGTTGGAAGCTTGTCAACACTTACATAGGGAGAGAGTTGGCTGTGTGCTGATACTCACATGTGGTATGTAAAGTATATGAAGACAGATGCGTAATAAAGCAAGTGTTTGAATGATTCCTGCTATAATGGTGGGGTGGAAGTTTAGGAGGATGAGGGATGGAGACCACGGGCTGTAGCTATCCAGCTGGACCCAGCCAGTCATGCAGTCTTGCAACCGCATAACCGCAAAGTCCACCTTAACATCCAAATGCGATTTTGAAATAAATAAAACACTCCTTTGTTCATTCATAGTGCTCTTTCTCATTCTTGTAGATACACAAAGACACAGAGAGAAGGCACCACATGTAACAAGGTACCACAGGTACATGATTCAGAGGCGTCAGCCAACAAGGCCGATTAAGCTCAACAACAGTATGGCTGAGTTTTACACTAAAAGAAAAGGAGGTGGATCCGATTTTTTTCCCTCATTCTGTAATAACCAGGTCCCCCGCTATTTTTACCAAACTTTACATGTGGCAATGGAAACCTCATGCAGATGCGTACTTTATTTGACCCAGTATAGGGTTACTGTCTTCGGCCTCAACTTAAACTATAAACTGTTAATTCTGGAACTCTCCCTCCAGCAATCAACTGAGTAGACACTTTAAGAAGTTTAAGAAGACGTTCTTAGCAGAAATCAGCAAAAATGGCAGGTGAAACTTGTCTAAAGATGCTAAGCCATTTTTGGAAAAGCCTTCCTGTCACAACATCAAAAACGTGTGTTTGATAAAAGCTACTGAGCCTTGGGGTTTTATACAACGTTTAGTCAGATTTCTTTGAGAAAAAACACCTTAAGCCCAATCTTAAGGGGGATGGAGGGTCCTTTGTTGTCAGAAAAGTCTCCTAAAAATTGTTGAAGTAGATGACGTCGATGATCATTAATAATTACTTTGCAGCGTGCAAAGATGGATTTAGATAATTTTCTGTTTAATAATCATTTTATAATCACCAGTTTTTAGTTTACTGTTATGGAAGAGGAG